AGCAAATAATGTATTTTGTAATAGAAGTATCAGATGTTTTAATGATTTATCCTAAAATAGATTTTGTTTAGATAAATTTATTTCTAGGTTCCATTCAGAACAATATGTCTCCAAAATATTTATTAAATTTTGCAAACCGGGTGCTGTTTGAGACATAAGAACTAAATCATCTGCATATAATAATGATGATACAGTTTTATCATTCAGTATGGCTGGATTGAGTTGTTCATGACTGGAATTGAATGATGTACTTAAATCATTTATGAAAAGATTGAAAAGCGTTGGACTCATGTAAATTCGGAACATTGTAGTATGGGAGTTATTTTAAAATAAATATGGGCATGGGGCCAATTGTTCAGGCTAATAATGGCTTTATAAAACTGTATAACTCTGTGCTTTTTTATAGTTCTATTGTTGCAACCTCTGGAGCTATAAACAAGATTAGTTTCAGCACATCATATTATATTACTTCTCATTACCAACCTTAGAATAAATTCTAAGTTGGGTGATACATATAATAATGTCAGAGAAATGACCACTCATAAATATATTAGCATGAATGTGGAGCAGGAAACCTCATAAAGAATTCTTTGACCAATGAAATTGGCCATACATCGGTATACATAATTCCTCAGACAAACATTGGTACGGCATATACACTACTGTATTGTCTATATCTAAACTTTCTGATGATGTACATGCATAGATATTTATAGTATAAATTAAATTATATGCATAACTTTTTGAGAATAAATCTCAGATCAATTTTAAACTCATTTTTCTTCTGTTGCTACCTGCAAATATGCAACATGGATCTCATTTAAATTATTTGAAATTGTGGGCTTCAATACAACAATAATTCTCTGTCCTAAGCACATTATCATATTATATTAGAAGAAGGTTGCCCATAACATATAAACTCTGTTTAATATGAAAATATAAAACACAAAATATTGACTAATTACCAGATTACACAGTACACAGAACAATAACTGCTATGCATTAATCCTATTTTTTTCCTCTATGTTTATCCCCTTTTATAGCTCCACTTCACGACCTTTGACATTGAGAGCCATCCTTACTGTGAGTTTGACTTTATTGAGGTAATTGATGGTAGAGATATCGTAAATTCACCTGTTATTGGTACATATTGTGGTGGTTCGTCAAATAAACCTCCCCAGATTATGTCATCCACCGGCAACTCCATGATGGTCCTGTTCAGTTCAGATATATCTTTGCACTATGAAGGTTTCTATGCAGAATATGCAATCAGTGAAATCGGATTTCCAGATTTGCCACCTCCTGGTGCTTCGCCATCATCGCAAAAGATCTCAGGTAAAATATTTATATATCTACATGTAGGTTACAGTAATATTAGTTTATGGCATGTTGTCACTTTTGGCATGTGCATGGCTTGTTATCTATGAATTGACTATTTTTGACTGAACTAACATACTTTCTCAGTTTATCTACCACTGTGATTTTTCAAGCATTCTGCCTCCATCAGTATAGTTCTGGTTGTGCAATAGTAAAATTAGTCAGCGTTGTAGATTTTATCTCTGTGCATCATTCTGTGTTGAACTTATCATAATGCTTGAGGGTGATATGTATTCAATGGAACTTAATCCTTTTCAGAGTGAGACATACATGTACAGCTGATGTGAAACCAATATATCCATATCAGACTGATTATTATCAATATTTAGTCTATATTTAGCTTTCATATTCCATATTTTTTTCAATATAATTAAAAAGGTATCTTTTTTCATTTGTATAGGCTTTGAAAAATCAAAAGTTTTCATCATTATAAATTACTAACCATGGAAAATTGTTTGCCCAACATAAGAAAAAAATGTTCTTCTATCAAAAATGTACAAATACCTATATTTAGTCTGTAACAGTAATTATTAAATGCCATTCAAACGATGAACCATGAAACTCTCCAAAACAATCACAGCCTACAATAAGTTATAACAAACTTTGACAATGGCCGCCATTTTGAATGTCTAGTTGCTGAGTAACAATGGCCCATACAAATGATATTCAATTGTAAGTTCCACACGATCCTCTGATTGATTTTACGAAGTGTGCGCTATTAAGTGTATTCCTTCTAAGTGCATACCTTTTTTCTCCTCTATAGTTTGTGATATATCCCGAGCTATTGTAACCGACCGAGGCGGTGTTATTGTATCCCATGAGAATTACCCCGATGGGCAGTATCCAAACTTTGCTCAGTGCATAATGGTCATTATTGGCAGTAGAATGTTTGAGAAAGTCTACTTGTCATTTAAGACTGTAGATCTTCAACCAAGTAAGTTTACTATGTTACCATATAATATGCTCTTTTAGAACTAATAAACGCATAAGGTGAACAAAGTTAATTGTTGGTTTTAAACTTATTTAACTGCCTGGGCATTTTTATTGTTATGTAAACAGTCTTTATGAGACTATGAAATTACTCAATAAATTATTCACTTAGAACATTATGTATCAATTATCTTAAACACAAGTCCTGACCTGAAGTAATTAAAACATACTGTTGAAAAACACAGGAGCTGAACTCTCTCAAACCGTATAAATAACTTTGGATTAAAAAATGCCTCTAATGACTGTACAATAAAACTATCATCACCTCGTCTCTATTGTATAAATTACAACTGACAAACAGCGAGTGATGTAATTGGTCAGTAAAAGAAAATTAATTGTAAACTTAACCATAGAACTATATTAAGCACAATACCAATTATTAATTTAAAGTGCCTGATTCAATAACTTTAAAACTGTATAGAATGTAAATAAAAATAACAAATTAAAGCACCAACAACATGTTTCTTTAGACTTTTACTGTAAACTGAAGACTAGTTTCAGCACATGTAATAGACCTGTACTCATAGCTACATATATGGCTGTACTGAAATATAATTAAATTTTGTAACATGCTCATATTGTGTCTCTAGTGGAAATAAAAAATAAAATAAAATATGTGGTTCATTATTATTAAAATATATATTATTGAAATAATATAATATTCAAAGATTACATTAATTTGTACCTATTATTTACAGAACAAACTCGTTTATTTCATTTTTATACATATTTATAAAGTTTAATTTGAATACAATTTATAAATTGTTCTATTGTTATTTTATCGACCAATGAAAGGGTTTGGCTTTGTTGTATTTACAGTATTGTATGAATTTAGGTGTTTGTTTAGAAGATTGTAACCAATTGTTGTTAAATTATATTAGTTTATTTTTTTCTGTAAATTGCATTTTTTCCAATAGTCTAAATTATTTAATTTATTCATCTTAGCACAAGATGGGGCTTGTCAGCCAGGGACAGGTGACTACATAGAAATAGTGGATGGTGATCGTAGTCTCTTCAATCCAACCTTGCTTGGAAGACTTTGTGCTGGACAAGAAGAATCGTTTGTGTCTGGATTTATGTATTTACAGTTAAACTTTGTTACTGACCGGGCAGCGACAGAGGATCATACTGGATTTGAAGCTGTCTTTACTGTATTTTATGAAGGTAAACCTATTTAACAATAACCTTATTCTCATATACATGCAGAGCTCCCATCTGTTTGTTTGAGCTGCCAACCCTTTGTCATGTGTTGATATTGTCAAAATACTGAAATTATTATTTTGACAATACAGTTTTGATCCCAGATATCTGAAATACGGTTGTGCAGCAAACGTGAGAGGTTGGAAATGACCGTGAGCAATTTATGAATGAAAATCATGAATTTGTTTTTGTTTTTAAATTTCATTGGTCATGGCACTGTGACCAAAGATGTTTGTAAACATGTTGCTTAGAAAGGTTTTGTCATTGTACATAATAAACAAAACTATTAACTTTATATCCTGCTCAATTTCTGGATAAATATGTGGATAGTTTGAGGCTCTACTTAAAGTTCCCATCAAGTACATGACAAAAAGCAAATAAAAGTTGGCTGTACTCACCTTTGTTTTCAAAGAACAATGACTACTTTATTTAGTATTCAACTTGAAAACAGTCAAACACTAAGAAATATTGTCACTTTCAAATTATACAGCTGTTTTCAGTATTCCAACAATGCGTTACATTCATTGTGCTCTATCCACCAATGTATGGATCAAATCAGCTGTGCTGATAGGAATTGTATTCATATTGGGATGTGTCTTTTAACAATTATCAAATCATATGGCTGACAAACACTGTA